CATTGCTAACATGTTAGGAACCTAATAGGTTACATACATAAAGTTGCATTATGGATTAAATTGGGAATGTGACAATTTAAGTTGGACTTAAATCATAAACTAGTTTAATTAACTAATAAGGACTTAATTAAAATGGTTTAATTAAGTGCTAAGGTCAATATTACAAGAGGTTATAATATTGTGGACTTATTAGCAAACTTAATAATTTAATTAACCTTGGTATAAAGTCATCTTTTCAACCACTTCCAATTATTAGTTTTATTTTTACAGAAAACTAATACAACTCTCTCTAATGTCACCATCCCTTGTGAAAGCCTTTTGGAGAAGTTTCTTGTGTGATTCAGTTGGAGACTAAGAGAGGAAAATAAGGACAATTTGCTGTCCACTTTGCTGGCACAAAAGACATGTTTGGAAGTTCCCATCTTGCTGAAAATTCCATTACTGATGTGTGTGCAATATTAGACACCAAGCAAATTAAGTGGCTCAGGTTCCTACACACTTTGGGGTGTACATGGGTTTAAACATCAAAAGAATACTATTTGATTGCGATATCATTTGATAAGGTAATCAATTCTAATTGTACTTCTCATAATGCTCTGCCTGCATTAAAAAAAAAAAGGTGATCCAAGGTAGGTGTGGCATTTTATTTTTCTTTTTGTTGCATTTTTTAATCTGATCATGTTGTACTTAACAAAGCGTTATGTTTAAAGAGAGGGTGAGCAAATGCCATTTAACCTTTTTATTTTTGTGAAAACAACAATAAGTATCAATACTTTTGGGTGAAGTATCATTCCTTTTCTTTCTAGGTTTCAAGTATCGATCATAGGTTTTATGTATCAATACCTTTTAACGAAGTATCGATACTTGTTCATCATACAACTTTTTTGGGTTATAAGTATCAAATCGATAACTTATGAACAAGTATCAATACCTTGAGACAAAATACACCTTTTGAGATAAAATGCCTATAAAAGCCTGCCAAGCTTATTTACATTTAATACCATTTACGTAAATGTCTTCATTTTCACTTTTTTTTCTTTTTACTCTCTAGTTACTTATAATATTTAATTTAAATAAGCAAACACTCCCCCTATTTGGATTCAATAAAAAATCCAAAAAATAAAATTCCAAAAGAATCAAAATCTAAATTTTGGTTCTCAAAATAAAATCGAAAAAGTTTGATTGAATATACATTTTGGGGTCTAATTTATCATAGTAAATGTCCTTCAAAAATTATGAAAAAATCATTCTAGGTTACGTCAATACCAAAGGAACCATTACTGTCATTTTTTATTTCCATTAGATAATTTTATAAAATCACATATTTTGGCTCTTTTCAAACTTAGAAAAATTTCTACTTCAACAATGACAGCCAACTAAGGTGACGACCACAAAGGATAAAAAAATACGTGAAAGGGTCTATATCCAATAAACGACATCATACATCATAAATGTTACCCACCTATCCTTTTATAAGAGTTGGGGGTTTCAAAGCTTTGATGCAATAATATTTCATAATTAACCTTTTATAATTTTATTTGCAAAGCATAGAATGTACCATGGACTTTATTTCAACTAATCGACATGAAAGATCTTATGAAAAATAAAGTATTAAATGTAAATACTTAAATCTCAAAATTGTATCTCTATATAGCCAACCAATTGGATTGCAGGGCATATTTGACCAAATCTATCAAAATATGAGGGTTTAGCGTTTTATATCTTGGTAAATTAAGTTACCAGGATAGTTATCTGAGAATTAATATTAGAATTATTTAATAATTTGAAGTTACCAAATCATATTATAGAAGGGGTTCCATAAATAAGTTTAAGGCAGTCAGAGCAATCTAAATAAAAAAAATTAACATGAAAACAGAAATACACTCTCTTTCTAGAGAAAGACCAGTCTATTTCCATCATCACGCTAAGAGTTTTAAGCTGTGAAAAGTGTGGCCAACACTTATTTTGTAACACTTTCCATCACTGTTAGGTGGCGTTTGGTACATTACAATGCAATGTTATTACAGGTAATGTGATTGCAAGTAATGTGATTGCAAGTAATGTGATTATAAGGAAAATAACATTACAGTGTTTGGTATGTAAGCAAAATAATGATTAAAATGCATGGAAGATAACATTGCAGTGTTTGGTTTACAAGTACTTTAGTGGGAATGTAATGTTAATTGTCAAAATTACCTCCATTATTAAAATATAAGTTTAATATATTTATATTTTTTATTATTAATTTTTATATAATATCATTTCTTAAATATATTTTTAATATCATATATTTTATTTTTATTTATTATTATAATATTTATATTTATTTTTAATATATTATATTTTTATTATTAATTTTTATATATATCATATTTTAAATATATTTTTAATATCATATATTTTATTTTTATTTTATTTATTATATTTTATATATTTATTTTAATATATTTATATTTTTATTATTAATTTTTAATATTTCATTTCTTAAATGTATTTTTAATGTCAATATTTATTATTTTATATTATATATTTTATATTTTATTTTTAATATATTTATATTATATTATTAATTTTTATATAATATCATATTTTAAATATATTTTTAATGTCATATATTTTATTTTTATTTATTATTAATTATTATATTTTATTTTTCATTTCTTTATATATTTTTTATATTATATATTTTATTTAATTTGTTTTACCTATATTATATAAATGTTAATTTTTTATATTTTATTTTATTTTAATTTTATTCTTATATTATATATTTTATTTTAATTATAATATTATAAAATATTTTTAATAATATAATAAATTGAATGGTAAAATTATCTTTAAGAACATGCAGAATGCAATGTAATGTGATTGCATTGGTTTTGGACTGCAATCACATTACATCCATTGGCTGTAATGTGATTGCATTGCAATCTTACATTGCAGTGATCTGTTACAAAACAAACACTGCAATGTAATTTAATAAGCCACATTGCAGGTAATGTGCTTTATATTGCAGTGTATCAAACGGACCCTTAGTTTTGGACTTGCTGCTCCATCGGCTGATGAATCGCCTATCAACTTAGATTGCCACATATTAAATAATATAAACTGAAGTTCCATTGATTGGGCTTAAGATATTGTTATTGGTAGTCTCCCCTTTGCACTTAACTTTGATCAAAATTATTCATTAAGTAAAATGAAAATGAAGACTATGTAACCCCTGCGTAGCTTGCAGTCTTAGGTGTTATCTAACGGGAGTACAATAAAATTATGAGTTGCAAGATTAATTAAATTAGAGAGAACAAAATATTGTATAAAATATAGATGGATAAAGTATAGTGTTTTAAAAAAATCTTAAAATTTTTTAAGAAAATTTAAATAAGTGTTTTTCTTGGATATAATGCTCAAATAAGTCTCTAAATTATTTAAGAAAACTAAAATAAGTTTTTATTCTTTTATTGTATTTAATTAAGTATCTGTATTTTTATTTTGAATCAAATAAACCTTTATTATTAATCATTGACTTATTGCCATTAGTCAAAATATTACTTATCATTTTATATTCACATGGCACAGACTGATGTTGATACGAAAGGTGAAAATTATCACATGATCATATTATTATAACGAATTAGCATGTCACATTATCTTTAATTATAATATATTAGCATGTCGCATCATCATTAATTATTATATATTAGCATGCCATGTCAGCATTATGTTACATAGAATGTGGCACTAACGTAGAGGGCAAAATTACCATGTGATCATGTTATTATGTCATGTCACCATTAAATATAGTATATCAACATGTTATGTCAACACCACATGAAATGATAATAACACGTGACATTTGTACTGACTATAATTAGTTAAAAATAAATATTTATTTGAATTTTTTTTTAATTGGGAGAAGGAGTATTCGAACTTTATTCTTTAGGCACGGCAATAATGCAAATTTAAAAGTTTTTTTTAAAATATAATGCCGATAGATAATTTACTTAAAATGCAAGTTTAAAAGGGTATAATTAGTTAAAGCGTATTTAACTTAAAATAAAAATACATTTAATGTAATAAAGAAATAGATGCTTATTTCATTTTTTTTTTAATAATTAGGGAAGGGAGGATTCAAACCCTACTCTTTAGGTATGGGAATAATGCAAATTTAAATTTTTTTTTAAAAAAATATAATACCTATAGATAATTTACAAAAATCATGCTATTCTCGTTTCAAACATAGCCTCACAATGCATAGTCAGTTCTTATCCCAACTAATGGATTTTCTTATATTTAATCTCTTTCGTACACAATTATGCTTTTAATGTATTGGCCGTTTAAAGAATAAGAAAAATTGGATTCTAAAGGACATCATTTAAAAACGATTTGTTATACTTCAATCAAAGTTAGGTAAATTGTATGATCTGGTTCTAGAACCAGAAACCTCGCAAGAAGGGTTCAGGGCTTCTCAGGTCAGGTCTTGGTTTTAGAATCAGGAAACTCACCAGAAAAGCTCGGGAATCTGAGGCAAGTCTTTGTTTTTGATTTCTTCTCAAGAGGTGGAGGCCAACTGGGCTACGACATGTCACTTTCTTGCGGCTTTGAACTGCTATTGAGGAAGGTTGAACGCTGGTGAACAGGGTCTAACATCCCAGAGGTGTCTGCCCGAGCTGAGACCTGGTTCTAAACCAGGTCTTGATTCTAGAAACAGAAAAGCTTTTACGCCTTCAAAGCCAGAGTCCATAGCTTACCTAGAACTTTGGGAGCATAATTTACTCCATTCTAAGCAAGCTCAGTACCCATAAACCTTGTTCTCACCAGAAAATAACACTGTGCTAGCTTTGAACATTTCATTTTCCGCATTTGTGTGATCTTTCGTACTTCATACTATAAATTATGTTCAAGTCACTTCGACTTCCACTACACCAAATAGGGAAGAAAAAATTCTGATGAGAGCATATATAAGTTTATTGGTACAAAAGTATGTACGTAAACAGGAGCAGTAATGAGAAAAATACGTATACAAATTCAGTTGCATCTTTTTACATACTCTATCTTTAACTCCTACAGAAAATAGAAAGAGATACTGTTACAGAAATGGCCTTATAAACGATATGACCACAAGACTGGCATCTTAATATATGAAGCAAGTACCTTTCTTGAATAAGATGAAATGTAAATAAGTTACAACAGTCTTAATGGCTGTGCTACAATCTGTGGATATCTGGTCTAAAATGGTTGTCATAAAATGAAAACCGATCAGGAGTTACCCCAACTGATCTGGTTGTATGGAAGGATGGAAATCCTTCTTTAGCGTGTATCTGTGGCACTAGGTCAGGATATGAGGGAAACGTGGGATAATTCTGTAGACTGGATGAGGGTAGGACTGGTTCCAAGTAAGGATCAACACTCGGTTTCTGAGTGGATAATCTCGACCCTGTCTCCACAAATTGACCAGTGAGAATTTGATCATCCTTGATATACCCAGATGAAGCAAATGCAGTTGGGAATGGAGAAAAACTTGTTCTAGGATCCATGTAAGGGCTACTGAAAAAGCGATCACTAGAAACTAGCTGATAATTACTAGAACTACTCAATTGAGTGTTCATATAAGAGGCAGTGGGAAGATGGCTGCCAGCAGTTGGTGCAACTCCTCTATCAGGGTAGTAGTTCGCCAAACTCAATTGCGAACTTGAACCCAGAAAGTTCGCTTTCGGGGCCTCTACTGAAATGTCAGTTGGTACCCTGAAGAGTCCAGAGCATCCAAGGGGAATCTCTACCCTCTCCCCAACTTTTCTTCCAGAACCAGAGGGTTCAATTGCTTTTCCCACAGATGCACCTTCTACCAGTGACAATGTACTGATTTTCTGTTGTAATGACAACCTAGCTTGTTTAAGTGAATCCAGTACACCAGTAAACCTGCTAGATGTTTCATGTGGCACCAATGCATACAGCTCATTTTTGTTTTGTGGAAGTTCACTACACGAATGACTGCCCAAATCAGATGAAAAGTGTTGCACTGCTTCGTTCCCAGGGGAACAATGTGGGTGGGCAAAGTGATTGGTGCTATTTGAAGGAGAATTGTTGCTCTGCATACTCTGATAATGATTTTCCTTTGACATGAGATGTGTGAACTTTTGACCCAGGGAGTTGGGATTTAGAGATTCAGGAGAAAGGGAACGGCTATACCTCCAATCCTGTAAGTGATCCATATCAGCCTGTGAAGGTGGTACAAGATCATTGGAGTGAATTTTGGGTAATTCTGCAGAGAAGCTAATGTGTTCTTCCTCAGCCCCTTGGACTTGTGAGGTAGCTGTCCCAGATACATATTGAGCTTGTGCCTTGATCTCGTCTCTTTCCTCAGTTACATCTGAGTGGTTCCCAGGACCACATGAATCCTAAATAATTTATGACCAAAAGACCATAATGTTAGTATTCACAAGCAAGATTTCACTTCTGCGACGAGAACATTCATAAACTAACTAGACAGAAAGAGATAGGTTCAACTATCCTTATTATTAATTGCAATGAATAATAAGTTAAAAGGAAAAAAAAAGCAATTACTAAAAGCAACAGTGCATATAGAAACCACTACAATGAAAATGATAGTACTGCCTTCTACCAACAGGCAGAGCCAAGTGACCTTTTTCTGTATAAGACAAGTATTTAACATTTCACGGTTTTGGGCCATATATGCTGATATCTCATAGCATACATGGAAAAGTAGCATAGATTGCAGAGGCAGAAACTAAGGGACAGAAGCTATTTCCTTTGACTGGATATAAATACACCACATGGCATACTTGAAAATCCAGTAAAAGCACTAATGGTAAAACTAGTTGATAAGTGTCATTCCCTCTTCTAACTGGATATGTATGTATGTGCATCTACATTTTCCTTTGCCAAGAATCTTATCACTTATTCAATTTGGAAACTTCCTTAATTTTCTTCAAAATTTTTATAGAACCTTTCAAGGCCTTTAGTCACAATCTTGCAGGAAGCAGCAAGTCTTAAATAGTAAAGCTCAATGAAAGGAAGCAGTATATCCATAGGCATTTCCTACTCATTTGAGCAATATTAACCTCATTCCATCCCCTTTTCCCTGCTGGAAGAAAAACATAACCAAATGCATGAGAATAGAGTTGAAAGTGCATAAGAGTAGAGCCACTGAAATGTTATAGGCAGGCGACGAAAAAACAAAACTGATAATCATGATATCAAGACATAACTGACCATGCTTCATAAAAAGGATAATGAAAATTTCTTGGGACTCTTCAATAGCGAGACTTGTATTGCAAATATTTCCGCTGCTTCCTCCCATGTTTTTGGAGTCAGAATAAAACTAGGAAAGAGTGCCAAAAACGCTAAAGATGGCTTGAAACTACCATAACTGTCTAATCTAATTCAAAATTACCAGAGAAACTTGTTATCACAGCATACAAGATACCAAAAATGGCATATGCTAAAGACAACATGAGGCACCAAGATAAGAAAGTTTCAGCGGGTAAAATAGAATCTTGGAAAATATTCTTTGAGGTATTTTTTCCACCATAAATGAATCCAATATCATATACATTTTATTACTAAAGAGAACTAAAAAATGGAAGACATTGTTCGGACAAGATATGCAGATCAGATAAACATTAGTTCTTTGTTGTGACTATAACTCGAATTGACTTACTAAACTTGCAAAGAAGAATATCCATAAAGACATATAGGAGAAAGAGACTGATAGAGACAATAAGCTCCAGACAAAACAGAAAGACTGGAACAATCAGAAGCTTATATCAAGCAGTTTAATATCTATTTAGCTCATGATGCTGCTGGCTTAACTTATTGATGTTCTTTAGGGTTTCCATACGTAAGGATAATTATAAATTCACATTTGGCATAGGACGTTGGGCAGTCCTGTAGGTTTTATTTTGAGAAGGTTTCAGTTATAGAGTCCATATGCTTTTGGTATTGGGTGGCATATTGTCACCAGTTAAGGAACATAATAAAGCAAAGAGAGGAGAGAGAAGGCTAAACCAGACCAATGAGTGTCATGCTGATTGCAGTGATGACTTGGAATTTGGAAGTCACCAGAAGTGAGGATTGGAACTAGGAAGCAGGCAGTTAGAATTGAAAGCAGAAAGAAAGAGGCAGCTGGGAGAGAAGAATTCTATACAGAAAGTCTCTTTGCAGAACCAACCCCCTTCAAAATGAAGTCAGCATACCCCATATATTGGCCTCTATCTTTAGTTAATGCATCAATTAGATAGTCATGTTAACTCACTCTGCATATTGAAGGCTAAAATGCATTCTAAGGTGATTGGCTACTAGAACAAGCATTGTTACAAAAAGGGTAGAGATAGTCCTGTGTGTAGACTATGATACAAGGAAGACACTCATAGTCTAGATAAAGGTCAAGGGGAGAATCTTTACTAACATAATATTCAAGCCCATCAAGACAAACTCTCAAAAGCATCCCACAAAAAAGGATTAACCCATGGACATTGACAGTAGTCTTGAGATGAAACCCACCAATTCAATTGTATACATACTACAAAAATTACTTGCAAGGCATGCTTAGGAACTAGGTTAAATTGGTAATTTTATTTTGCTAAAAATTGAGAAACTACAGTGGCATTTTAGTTTGTACTTCATAGTTGTCTAAACCAGTCAACATTTCTTAATTTCTTGAGATTCTGAAGTTGGAGTTCTTGTCCCAGAAACCAATATTTTTATGATCTTTACATCCTTTCCAATTTAATTGCGGTTCCACCCTAAATAAATCCATTATCAACAGCAGGTTTGTGAAAAAACTTAAGAGCAGGTTGATATTATTGCGTGGATAAAACTAGCAAAAAAGGTATCCATGAATGCACAGACACACACACACACACACGTAAAGAAAGAGACTGATCCAGACAACAAGGGAAGAGAAAAAGAATGTAAACTCTAAAGCTTAATTACCTGCAATGCTTCTAAATACTATAAAGCCTATAGTGATGTTTATTTATGTATTCATCTTGCCTGCTCAAAATTACCAATATCCTCTAAAGTATTTAGAGTTAAGGATCTTCATAAATTCAAATTTGCTGGACATGTCATGTCTAGTCAAAATTGAGTTAGTTTCCTGATTGGAATCATTATCCTACACATAAAATGTTTCCGGCATTGCTTACCACCACCATGTTCTCTGGAGGTTAGCAAATGTCAATAGTTTCATCAGAGCAAGTGGTCTCACTCTTTGAATTAATGTAGATAACAGAGGAATTTCCTAGGTGACACAAGCCCATCGGACAAAGTTAACAAGGATCCAGTCTTTAGAGCCAAATCTCAGCATTCTTTTATTAGAATTTCAAAATATCCTATAAAAAAAATCTACATAGCCAAAATTGTAGTTGGCCCCTATCTAGAAATTGATTCTAACTTCAATATTAGGCTAATTGTAGATAGAGACATAATTAGAATTTTTGGCAACAAAACAGCTACCAATTTCAGCAACTGTGCTTGTGTATCTGAGAGAGAGAGAGAGAGAAAGAGAGAGAATATAGTCATCTCACAAAGAAAAAAAGATAATTCAGTCCAACAGAGATAGGACATTTGCTATCCACCAAGCAACTGTAGTGGAGCTTAGCCAAACCTAATCAGATCCACCCAACCCTACCCGAACCAAGAAAAGAAAAAGGACAACCTCCAGTCACTCATCTTCCAAATTCATTAGAAGATAGGTCCATAGACCTACAGTGTTTTTTTTTTTTTTTTTTGTACCTGAGGGAGCACTACAGCTTGAACCTAAGTTTTCTATCCAATCCGTGCCCACCCTTACAACTTGAGCTAGGCCAAGTGGCAACATATATTTTTGCTACGTCGCATTTCCTTCATTTGAACCTAAGATGAAATTGTCTACATTTTAAGCTTTGCTCTATCTTCAAATTTCAAATTTCCAGCCTATATTAACAAACAACCAGCTTTCTTTATCAATTCTGAAATACATTTCCTGAAAAATCATAATTAATCACAATACTTATGCCTTAAATCCATTAAAACTCTTTTCAACTGCTCTTGATAGAATTAGATACCAAATGTGATACTTCTCAACACCATGACAGTACAGATGTCAAGCTGCCATTACTACTTTAAGTGCAATTAAAACTAATTCCAAAGTGCTCATTAAAAAAAAAAAAAACAATTCCAAAGCTCATAAAATGTACTGCAGAAGCCCTGAAGATCCTGCACCAGAGAGCATGCACTAAATAATTCTATCCAATATCATCTAGACATGCATTTTAACAACACCAATATTGGGCACTATGACACAGCTGCAACTTCATATGCCAGTATAAGAGAGATAACAAGCATCCAGTAATTACAAAAGCAAGCATGATATATAAATCCAGAGAATATATATTGAACTGGGAGGAAAAGGAAAAAGCAAACTTTTTGCACTATATGCCTTCCTAGTCTAATAGAAAATTGACTTCCTTTGCTCAAGAAATTTTAAAATGCCCAACAAAGTAACTTAGAACTAAAAATGTCTACCATGAAATTTACTTCTGGTTGTCCATGAACAAAAAAATTCACAAAATGATTGGCTTGATATCAGAACTAAGAAAGCAAAAGAACTTAAAACTATTTCTATCAAATAGGTGTTGCCAAAACATACAGGTGAACTACTGTTTTTTTCTCTGAACTTCTCCTCCCATTCTCTTTGGGCCTTTTCCATTGCTTCATAGCGGACAATGAGTTGTGCTTGATGTTCTAGTGCCTTTTCCATGTCTTTCTCTCCTTCATACCCATGAAAATCAAGATCAAAACCAGTTACATTTCTTTCGTTCTTTAAGGCATCTGAACGTAGATTGTCCACTGTACTTTTATTCTCATGAATTTCAGAACCCATTGGCAAAATATCAGGCCCACCTGTGGAGTGATTCGCATTAACTTCTGAAGTGTTTTCAAGTCCATTTACTTGTGGATCAACCATGATATTGTCTGATTTAAGTTCCTCCGCTACAGATCTGATAAATAAAGCAAGCATAGATAAATTTTTGTTTACTCGACTCATGAGAGTAAATACCTATGAGGAAATCCATGTTGAACATGCAAGAACTTAACATGCTCCCAGATGAAGAAAATTCTCAACTGAAATCACTTTTACAATGAAAAAGGAAACAATGATCCTTATAATAACATTATTTCATTTTGATCTTTTAATTCTACAGTTTCCATGACACATTAAGTCGTACAAATAGTATCAAAATAAAATGTCTTTGTCTTCATCTCCTTTTATTCTTTCTTTTTGTTTCTTTTCATCCGTTCATCCCTTTCCCATTAGTCCATATATATATATATATATATATATATATATATATATATTGTCATTAGGAAAAAGAACAGAGGGAGGGGGGGGCGTGGGGGCATGCCACATCTTGTGATACAATAAAAGAAACAGAATCAAGTACAAACCTTGATTCCCGATGTCTTATCTGCCGGCATGATTTTCCCTGGCGGTGCTTTTGGGATGAAAAACCCATAGATGAAAAACTATTGCGCCTTCTCACAAGTTTATCTTTATACCTTTCAGGAGAATGAGAAGCACTCTTGCAGCCTTTCCAAGACAAACTTCTACCAGATGCTGAAGAACAATCAAATTCAGAACCTGAAAGTTCCTCTGACTCTTTTCTTCTCAATTTTGAAGTGACAGAGCTCTCCTCTTCTTTAGTAGAACCATTATTTATGTTGGATTCAACAGGTGCGTCCTGGTCAGAGCTTGAATCAAGTTCCTCAGATATATCACTTACCCCATTATTCACCAAAATAGCAAGAACATCTGCTGTGGCCATTTCAGCCCTCCTCCTTTGGATGGACACAATTTTTAGCTGTTCTTCCAGTTCAGCAACCTAAGTCATATAAAATACCAACATTATAAGCCATCAAATGAAGAGTCTATATTTATGCTATATATAAACACAGAGAGAGAGAGAGAGAGAGAGAGAACCAAAACCAGCAAATCTAAAAAGACCTAAGAACAACATGAAAAAATACCCTTTTCGCCAGTTCATCAGCTCTCTGCCTTGCACTTTTTGAGACAGATCGTTCAGACAGTAAACGTGCTCGAAGGAATTCAATGGTCATTGTGGAATCCTCCACGTTGCAAGTTGTCCTGACAAAACAAGGACAAAATAATCACCCAAAATCAAACAGCAAACCTAATTTAGTATAACTTTACAAAAGTTCAACATGTTCCCTCCTCCCCATTCAAGCACTCCAAGTATGCATGGTGCCTACATATACATAGAAAGATATGTCCAAACTCCAAAAACCAAGGTTCCATCAATTCATCCACAAAAGTACAAACAATTACTACAGCTAACACAAAGACACAAAAACTTATATGATCTTTACATCAAAACTTTAGTTTCTCTTTATGAATAAATGAACTTATTTATCAAAAAAATAAACATAGGAAGCAGGAAGGCCTGCTTTAAAGGCACAGAAACATGTACTTCCAAGGTATCCAGAGGCTTCCTCCAGATAAAGAGAACTACCGTTAAAGAAAAAAAAATCAATGGGAAACTAAACAAGCAACAATAACAGAAAGTAACCATGTTTCAGGTACATCCGAAAGTAAATCCTAGCCCTCATGAGAGTTTATCACCAACTAAAACTAAAGCGGCAGTCTAAACCTCTAAAATTAGCTCCAACATCAGCCACCATAGCTCGAAAAATCAAAGTAGGATCAGCATAAGCAGTTCTCATGCTTTCCTAAGCTCTTTGCTAGCAAACTTTATAAAGAGACGCATCCCCAATCCAATCTCAAAAAATAATGATATTCCAAATGACTCCCCTATCAAATTCCTGATTGATCCAATTCAAACACTTAACTTTCCTATCTCTAGAGATAAATGCTTATGCATAGCTAAAACCAGGTTTCTATTGAGACACTCAACACTAACTGAAATTTTGGCTTCTTAACAACAGCTCACTCCTTTCAAAAACCCAAACAAAGAAGCAAGCAACAAAATACTAATCCATGAACTTTAAAGAAATCTAAATACAAAGAGAAAGCTCATACGTGAAAAAATAAGGGATGAAAAAAAGCAACCCATGAGCTAAAAATACTTCAACAACATATAAAACTAACTGAGAGGAACAAAAATTTTAAAAAGAAAGAAATACCCAGATTCATTTACCTTTGATCTTGCTTTATTTGATCAGAATGATGCATTTTAGAGGCTGCAGACTTTGATCAGCTACACTCCCAATACCCCAAAAAGTCAGCTCCTTTGATTAAAAGCGAAAAAGAAAAGAGACAAAAAGAATCAGATAGAATATAGAGTGTGATGAGTGAGGAAAACAAGTTTTTTCTTTCTCTTTTTGATTCAGAAGGAAAGCAAGGGAAGAAATGAGAGAGAGAGAGAGAGAAGAGAGTGAAGAATACGTTAGAAAGTAAACTCCAAGGAAGGGGAAGCCAAAATGGAATTGGGTGACTTTTGTTTCACTAATTCTCACTCGGAGGGGTCCGTTGGGAATGAAGAAAGCAGGCAGAAGTTTCTTTATACGGGAGACGTCCATTTGGACACAACATGGCCCACACAACCTTTTCCGCTATCTTTCTGTCACTTCTCGTCTTTTGTTTATTAGTTTTTTTTTTTAGGAGGTTAAAAAATAACTGGCATCAAATTTCGTATAATTATTATGTTATCATATAGTTCTTTCTTTGTATTTTATTAATCTTGTGTGTTTCACTGTTGTTATGACTAAAGCCTTAATCATTAGTATTATGGTTGTCAATTGCCCTCATCATAATATATTCTTGGGAGCAATAAAGGCCACGCAAAGGAGTGAGAGATTTGGATCAAATTGACCAAAGGATTTCCATGATATTGGAAACCAAGTGCCTAATGGGATCCACAAATTTTACCCAATGAAGGTGGAAAAAAAAAGGGTGGTCATGAGTCTCCTAGTGGAAGATCCGAAAGTGGCCTTGAGACAGTTTTGGGGCATACAACTGTGTCATGCCAAGCATAGCTGCAAGGCAATAGAAAATTCCACAAGTATGCCTGCAACATCTGGTAGCGTAAACTAAAAGGTATGACTCGATTTTTTTTAGTCTAAGAATGGTTAGGATCTTGCTGTACAGTTTGAGATAAGCAACTTTTATCCTTTGATTTTTTATTCCAATTTTGCTATTGATTTCTAGTCTTAAATTTGCATACTGAAGTTGTTGGCTTTGCCATCTATTCCACACAAAATCAATTCACTCAGCAAATTCCCGTGAAGATGGTGTTTTAACTTGCCGGTGTTGTAACAGTCCCTTTCGTTTGGGTGCTTGCCTGTATATCTTCTTCTGGTCTTTTGTCTACAGACCAATCTATGAATCAATTGTTTTATACTTTGTAAAATTTTGATTTGATAGAGAAATTAATAAATAAATAAAGAAATAAAAAATGATAAAGGAAAAGATAGAAGCCAAATGAAGTAAATAGAAGTGTTTTAATCTTAGTCATGGATTTTTATTTTGATCAAAAGACTAGAAAACAGTGTAAAACTTATTAGTTTTATAGTGCTGTAAATAAATCTTTCTTATAATATATATATGTACGATGTGTTTGGGAAAAATAGAAATTTTGAGCGAATTATATATACATATATATATATATATTCATAAATATTCTTTCTGATTCGAGTACAAACTATAAGAATATTTCATATTTATTTTTATCCATTTTACGAAAAGGTAATGCCTAAACAAAATTAAAATAATGATCTGTTGTTGTGTTTTTTCAGATTTCTATGATGGTAGAGGTATTAGCTATGTATAAGAAAATTATCATTAGAGTGTTCAATTTCTAAAGCTAGCTGTAGACAAAAAAATTGAACAACGTGGGTCTTAATATTGTCAAATTTATCACGTAAGTGTTCGTATTATTAACAAGTAATATAATAGAAAACAAAGTTCGCTCTCACGGAGAATTTCGAAGATCTTTTTACTAAGTACTAAAATTAAAACAACTCAATCATATCCCAACAACCAAACTTAAATCTACTTAAAAATTAAAGAAACTAAAATTAAAACTAAAACTGGAAAAAAAATAACAATTTAACTAGAATCAATAAATCAAAAGTCTAGAATCACAATATTTCATAAATGTTTCATTTGAATCTCTTCTATTCTCTCTTTACTTATTAGATAAGCTTGAATTGTTAACTTAAATTTTGATGTATTTATAACTCTCTTTCAATATTCTTATAAAAATATCTTCTTTAACCAACTTACTATATTTCCATGCAAATTGAAATGAAAAAAACTTATTAAGCTTAAACTCTAATTATAGCTACATATGACATGTAAATGTATTCATACCCTACACGCATATCAAATCAATTATCTCATACAATTGATATTGAATATATGTTATTTTATACATGGCTTACACTAAACTCCCTCTTTCAGTTCCGTTTAAGTTTACAAATCAATCTAATTGATAATCAAGCAATCATACGCATTAAGAATAAGATTGTAATAAATATCTTAAATACTATCAATCATAAAAAAGGAAGAATATTAAAAATTCAAAGCCATGCATTGGGTTTAGTTGTGTTTCTAGATTAAAAATTTAGTTCCACATAACTACTGAAAATACAATCCAAAAAAGAAATTTAACTTTCAAAACTAAACAAGAAAGTATATAGATAACAAGGAAAGAAAGAACTCTAATATTCATCAAGTTTTCGATTTGCAATCTTCCTTGCTTTCTTGCAAGCTTCAATGCCTCTTTTGCTTTAGAAAACCTTGCTTAATTTTTTGTCCAAACATGCTCTGAAAGACGGGATCAAATAAAGCTTGAATTAGCATCCAATTAGAAGTCCAAACATGTCAAAAGTCCTTTCTAACATATGGGTGACATGGTGCTGTGGCCATTTATTATATTTTCAGCTTTTCTCTTTGAGCGCTGTGGCATTGCCTCCTTGGTGGTCATGACATTGACTCCTCTAGACGCTTGAAGTGTACTTGCTTGTCAGGGCTCCATGGTGCTGATTACTTCCATGGCCGCGGCCCTTCACTCTCTTTCTTGAAAATTCAAGTTCTATTGCGTTACTTTGATTTATGATGTGATTTTCTCCTTCTTTGAAGTTGATATGGGCAAAATAGTAAACATGAAAGCAGTAACTCTACCTCTTAGCTTTCCAATGGTTTAAGAATCATATCAATTAGACTTCTGTAATGGAAGATATACTTAAAATTCTGAAACATGTGCAGTGAAAGTCTGCATCTTAAATGCATTTATCTTCATGAAATATCACCCTTTTCATAATACACCTACAAAAGCAACAAACTAAGTTAAATAATAACTAAACTTAAAGTGAAATATCCTAAAATAACTTAAATCAATTGAACCCAATATAATTACCTTTAAATGAAATAAATGACTAAAAAAATAATGCTTAAACTAAATCTCAAAAACTTAGACAAAATATATCCAAAATTGTGACCAAATAACTCTACAAACTAGAGTTATCACACCCCCTAACTTAAGATTTTGTTAGTCCTTGAGCAAAATATAAAAGAAAAGCTAAAAGGAAAGTAACTTAAATGATAAAAACAATCATAAGTAAGCAAACTAACTAGAGACAAGTAGCACCAACTTTATGATCTCCATAATTTCCTCAAAAATATATTTATAAATCTCCAACTCACAATAAAATATAGACATCATTCAAGTTTATGCTTTAATTCAAATGTAAGCTCATTCTTGAATGGATTTCCATGCGTGTGTGCAATCTTTTACAAATAACATCATATTTATCTAGATTAGTTTATATTAGTGCAAAATTTCAAATTAGTACTAAAACTCTATAGGTTTAAAATTTCAAACTTTCAAAATTTGAAGTTTTGTATTGGCATGAACTCATCTGGATAAGTATGATGTTCTTTGTAAAAGATTGCATACACACATGAAAATTCATTCGAGAATGAGCTTGCATTTGATTTGAAACATGAACTTGAATGATGTCTATATTTTATCTTGAGTTGGAGATTTATAGCTATACTTTTGAGGAAATTATGGAGACCATTGAGTTGATACTACTTGTCTCTAGTTATTTTGTTTACTTATGATTGGTTTTATCATTTTTGTTGCTTTCGTTTTAGTTTTTTCTTTTATGTTTTGCTCGAGAACTAGCAAAATTTGCAAATACAAATTTTGTCATTTTGAAGGAATTACTTGCACTAAACGTTGATCTCTTCAATGCCATGATTAAATTTCCTACAAATTACTCAACCAAAACCAAAGCAAAGGAAAGCAAAACCAAACCCAACAAAGCAACACAATTTCCAATTAGTTTCCAACGCCCAATATCTTCATCAACAATTAACACAAAATCTTAAGTAGGAGTAATTAAACTTCTCAATTTTTGAATAAAGTGCAACAATTAATAATCTAATCAAGAAGCTAATTAAATTACCCATTAATCATATTCCACAATTAATTAGAAATTCTAACTACCCAACTTAAAATTCACAAATTTAAAGACCCACTATTATCTAACCACAATTAATCGAAAAGCATAATTTCTTTTTTATCAACCGCTAGCAACAAATCAAGAATAACAACAACAAATATAAATTCCTCAAATAAATTGATAAATTCAAGAAAAAAAATAACTTACTTGAGAAAAAGTTGAAGCTTACTTGATTGTTGAAAGTTTTGATGGATTTGGAATGAGTTTTGTGATCTTTTAGAAGTAAAAAGATGAAAGAGTTGGAGTTTATATGGAAGATTTTAGAGAGAGAAAAGCGTTTTCTAAGTTGTAAGATAAGAGAAAGAAATAGATTTGGTGTTTGGTGCATGATGGAATAGTTAGAAGTGTTTAAATAAGAAGGGTGAAAGGTTTAAGGGCTTATTAGGCTGTCAGGCGTTGCAACCATGGCCCTTAGGGAGTCGCGGTGTCACAACCTAAATCCGGGTGGTCCATGACTAGCACACAAGTCCAACAGACAAGCCCATTAGACATAAGCAAGCTTTAAAGGTCACAACCATATAACTCAAGCTAAGGGATTCCATAATAAAATATTCACAATAAAACCAATATATTGCGTTATCCCTAGCATATAATTCATACAAATATTTATAAGGCCATACATTGCCATCCAAGACGGGTTTGTGCATAGCAACCCTTACACAAGTTCATATGGCACATTGTGTCCACATACGTTGAAGCCAACCATATACGGAAGCTTGTGATGGACTCAGCAAAGTGAAAACATCTAAAAACAGAAACCTATTGAATGGTAAAATCGGTCTGTCGTTGGACGACCTTTACCATACAACTCTATGGCTTATTTATCTGTACATGGTCAACAAATGGGTGAGTACTATAATACTTAATGAATGGCATCGATAAACAAAATCATATATATATTGAACACATATACAAAATATATGCATTGTCCGTGCATCCAGATGTTCTAACAAAT